ACCCTAAATAAAAATATTATTAAGAATATTTTCTTTTCATGTTGTGGATAGAATACTTTCTTTTTTTATTTCAACAAAATGAGTATTTTTTTTCATGATATAAAAAAGTATTTTATTTCATTTCAACAAATAAAGTACGTTCTTTTCATGATTGGGGGATTTGGGGGAGGGGATAAGGAAAGTAACATAAAAAATTATTTTAAAAAAAAATATTTTCTACTCTTTAAACAAACATTAGAAAATATTTTTCGCAAAAAACTTTTCACTCGCCAACCAAACATGAAAAAATAAGTTATAAAATCACTCATTTTCGTTCATACCAAACACACCCTAAACCTTAGTGCAAGAAATGACTAAAAATGATAATATATTGGATGAAGTGGAAGAAAACAGATTGAGGAAAAAAACTAAGAAGGCTCAAACAAGATGATTCTATATTACATTCACTTTTTGTTATAGGTGCTAAATTTCTCTACAGAGGTCTTAATGGGCTAACTGTCTCAACTTGCACCTAAAATTAATTATCTAGCATAATTTTCTTACAGTCCACCTCATTAGAAATATACTGGAAATTTTTGAGGTATTTCCTGGTGAGAATGTGAACTCATAGGAGGAAGATTCCTATAAGTTATGGCTAAGCTTTCATATCTATCTCAGCAAAGGAAGAAAGTAAAGTAACATACTTCTTAGTTAGCAAGGTGCTAAATGGTGCGATTTTACTCATCCAAGCGAAGATGCTATAAACTCTTGGATGAAGGTTCTTCTTCAACAAAATAGATGACAAGTTCCTAGTTTCAGATTCATCAACTCAAAATACTAATGCCGAAATATAATATCATGATGTAATTAAGCGGCTTCATTTTCAGGAAATAAAATTAAAATAATACTCAATGAGCTTATATAAGCGATAAGCAGAGTTGATAGTTCAATCACATAGAAAAGGATGAACAAACTCACATAGTTGTACACATAGGTACATGACCAATCTATCAAATAAAAAGTACCTTAGTTGTTCCAAATCCTTCCATTGAACATCTATAAAGAGCATAAAAATCAAAAACTTATTGTACTTAGCTTATACAATTACAATACTAGCTGAAAAGCCTGTCACGTACTAGCTAGTAAATTTTCTTTGATGTTGACTTTAGATCCCTCTACTACAGATCACCATTATAAGGGCTTAAGGAAAGAAGAGAATCCCATAAATCCTTATCATCGCCGTGCTGAAAAATTGTAAAGGCAAAGATAGTAAATTGCATTTTCAGAACATAATGCTCTATGATCAAACACATGTATATGAGCTAAAACTACCTCAAGTTCCGGATTCTGGTGAGTATGATGGAGCTGAGATGACGATCCTTCCTCTGCAGTAACACCTCGGTGATCTCCTTGCTACACCCATAGCAGTGCAAAAAGATATATATCACAAAGTTTAAAGCGTATTATGAATACTGACAAGTATTTTTGAACTATCAATTCCTAGGTCATATTGTATAAGTTTGATTTTTGTAATTGGATCATCTTATTCGTCATATTTATCCTTTCGTATGATTTAAATCATTTCTCTAATTCAATAAGGTAAGCAAACAAATCAATAGAAAATTAACCATTCATATTGTTTGAGAACCCTTTCACCCTAAAATGTAATGTCCATCTCTGCTCTTAATTGTGGGGAGGGGAAGGGAGTAATAAGGGAAAGAGAACAGAAAGTGAAGCAAAAAATGATAGTGTGCCAGAACTTGTTTAATTCGCTTAATGTTGTAATGCAGAAGACTATAGCGGCTTGTTAGGGAAAATTCAACATCAAGTATACTAAAGTTATATTACAGGAGGACATATATTAACATCAATATAAATACATGGAAAATTGTCTGAGCACATTAATACTTTAAACTTTTATAGCTCAACCAGATGGCACATATAGATAATTCTGAAAAGAAAAAATAATGCAATCCTTAAATAACAATTTAACGAGATTAACTAGCCTACAATAATATGCAAGTGTGACAAAATATTGATGGTCAAATACAGATAAATTTTTAACTTGCCTCTCCTGGTGTATAAGCAAGTGGCAATGTATAATAAGCTTCTTGGTCCTGATTGTTACCATCTGTGAAGTTAAAAGTTGTCTCCTCCTGATCATTGCTGTTTTTCTGCATGTACACAGTTAAGTTTGTGCAGTAAAATTTATACTAAAGATAATCAAATAAATATTTTAAAAGGAATAAAACTTATTGAACTTGAGAACTATATACCACATGAAAAGGTTGAACGTTCAGTTGGCTGTAGAAAGGGCTTGTAAGATCACCAATTCCACTTGAATACGATGTAGCATTATTTTTATCGAACGTAGAGACGTCATAATCTTGACCAAGCTTAGTACCACTTCCTCCTCCAGTCTTGAAATTGTTTGAAAATCGAGTTAACTGTAGATTGCTAGACCACATGACCACTTCAGATTGTTTTTCTCCCTGATTAACGCGGTTAGCTCCCTGATTAAGAAAACTAGACCACATGGCTACAGATTGCTTTTCTCCTTCACAATCTTGACCAGATTTAGTACCACTTCCTCTTCCAGTCTCGAAATTGTTTGGAAATCGAGTTAACTGCACGTTGTTAGCTCCCTGATTAAGATAACTAGACCACAAGGCTGCAGATTGCTTTTCTCCTTCACAATCTTGATCAGGTATAGTACCACTTCCTTCTCCAGTCTCGACATATTTTTGTAATCGGGTTAGCTGCATACGAGTAGCTCCCTGATTGATATAACTAGACCAATCTTGATCAAGTACAGTACCACTTCTTCCTCCAGTCTCTACATTATTTGGTAATCGGGTTAACTGCATACGATTAGCTCCCTGATTAAGATAACTAGTCAACATGGATGCAAATTCCTTATCTCTTTCAAATCCAATCAAAAACGAATCCCTTTGAACCAAACTTTGATTTGACTCATGGCGTTCTTCAGCAGTATAGCTGTTATGAAGAGAGTTCAAATTTCTTGTAATAAGTTGATTCGCTGAAATTGCAGCATTCAGGAGCTGAGTTGAAATATCTTCATGTACCAATGACTTTGTCTGATTCTTAGCTGCTTCAGCTGTGGACAATTGATTTGCATTACTAGATTTGATTTTACTTGAATCACCTTTGTCCAAAACCAACTTTGCTTTTCCATATCCTGGCAGAGTAATAGCTGGTGTAGCGCATCGATTTGACAACGATGAACTGCCACGAATTGAAGTCTCAGCCAATGAGTTGTTCTTGAAGAACAACTGTTGCGATCCAGAATTTTCTTGAGAAAGTTGGCTGGTTGTACTTAACCCTTTTGATCCAAAAGTTGATTGAGTAGCAGTATTAGCTAAGTTTGTGTCAGCAGCTTGAACTCTGAAACTTTCTTCGGTGACTTTCCTCAAGAAAATACGATATTTCTGCAAAATTTGCATGTAACGAGTTTGTTAGTTCTAATAAAGAAAAATAATTATGACGAAAGAACAAATAAATAATGATGCTTTTCTGTTCTTGCAACTGATTGCCTCAAGTCAACTTCTATACAAATTCGTGTAACTTTCTACTAATATATTATGAATAGTTTTAATAAGGAACTTCTAAAATGAGCATGAATTAATAAAATTATAACTTCCAAATACGATGGCTTTTATTCAAGAAAATACTCAATTCTCTAACTATAAAAATCAGTGGGTGCTTGAGTTCTATTTCAGAAAGCAACAATATCTTAATACTTTAAATATGGATTAACGTTAATTTCTCCATTCTATCATGTTGAAAAAATATGCATTTTTCACAAGTCCAGTGCTAAAGCCATTCTACCAAATTTACTCTTAAGCAACATAATTAAAAGTGAACCTGCAAATGACTAGCGACATTTTCTCTTGTTAATCCTGGGACATCCATGACTTCAAGAATTGTCTTCGGATAAGCTCCTGCAAAAACAAAACAAAAAAATCATAAACAAAAACAATAAAACCAATTACTAAATTATGTTCAGTTCATTGTTTAGCTAGATTGGAATAGTCTAGTTATACCAATATTCTACACATGTTAGCAACAACTTACTGTCCAAACCAGTTTCTCTAATTGCTTGCAAGAATTTGTTGTGAAGTGCATCTGTCCAAACAAGCTTAGTCTTCTTTGGTGGTATGCTACTGTCTTCTTTTTCAGCCTCCTTATGCTTTCTTGCAGACTTCTTCTTAGATTCTTCCTTCTTGCCTTCTTTATTGCCTTTTTCGACGTTGATCGATGACGAAGACTCGACATTTTCATGAGGGCTTTTGGGTAAGCCGCTGGAACTTTTGCTTGAACTGTTATTTTCTTGAATTTCTTCAATAACAACTGATTTGCCTTTCCCCTTATTCTTCTTTGCCAAGGCAGCATACTGCCATATATCTCGTAGATCATCTGGTGATATGGGCTTCGGTAAGAAAAATACAGCTCCACGCTCTAGTCCTTCCAACACCATACTATCTCTATCATCAGCTGACATAACTGTCACAACGATACATGACTCTAGTTATAAACATTGGGCAAAAGAAAAAAGTTATATATGTTAAAATTCTCACACTGGTTGTGGATGGGGTGTATAGTCATATAGTCATCTTGCACAATTCTTACCTCATGGTCTAACTTTTTGGTTAGTGCTGCTCCAAGGTCTATAGCTTGATATGGTATCAGAGCTAGAACCATCCCAAATTTTTGTTTATTCGATATTTAGCTCTCATATTATATTGTCCATACTCCTCTTGATATGCCTAGACGTGGGGGGAGGGGTGGTTGTCAACTCATATCAGTTTTGGATAGGTGATTTGGTCTCTTTATATAATCTTTAGAAATTCTCACCTCATAAGCTACCTTTTGCGATCTAGTTAGTTTCAAGGTCCATTTCTTCAAAATATCAGTATAATCTAATTTGTTGAGGCAGAATATCACAACTTTAGTTGTGAGGTAACAAGCACTTATCGTGTGCAGTTATTTATAAAATATTTTAAATAACTTGATAGTATTGTAATGACCCAACCAGTCATTTTGACTTTTAGAACCCCGTTACATTAAATAAAACTTTTCGTATGTGCTTTTATTAATTTATGACTTGCGGGGATGGTTGGTTCGGGATTTGGAAGTGTTCGGGTTGAAATCAGAACACTTGATTCCTTAAGTTGGCCTTCAAATGCTAAGTTTAACTTCGGTCAACATTTTGAGAAAATAATCCCAGAATAGAATTTTGATGATTCCAACAGCTCCGTATGGTGATTTTGGACTTATGAGCGTGTTTGAAATTTTATTTGGAAGTCCGTAGTTAAATTAGGCTTGAAATGGCTAAAATAGAAATTTAAGCTTGGAAGTTTGAACCGGGGAGTTGACTTTTTGATATCGGGGTCGAAATCCAGTTCCAAAATTTTTTATAGCTCCGTTATGTCATTTATGACTCGCGTGCAAAATTTGAGGTCAATCGGACTTGATTTGATAGGTTCCGGCGTCGTTTGTAGAAATGAAAAGTTTCAAAGTTCATTAGGCTTGAATCTATGTGTAATTCGTGTTTTTAGTGTTGTTGGATGTGATTTGAGGACTCGACTAAGTTCGTATGATGTATTAGGACTTGTTGGTATATTTAGTTGAGGTCCCGAGGGCCTCGGGTGAGTTTCAGATAGTTAACGGATCAAAAGTTGGAATTAAAAAGCTGCTGCAATTTTCTTCTGCTGGAAATGCAGAAATCGAGCTCAGAAAAATCGATCCCAGAATCGAAGCCCAGATATCGAGTCCAGAGTCGAAGGCCAGGGTCGAAGCCAGGGACAGGGCTCAGGATCGAAGCCATGATCGAAGGCTCAGGATCGAGGGCCATGATCGAAGGCAGGCTCGAGAGCCATGATCGAAGGCAAGCTCGATGGCCATGATCGAAGGCCAATGATCGAAGGCCCAGGATCGAGGCCCAGGAACGAGGCCAGGATCGAGGGCCATAAAGATCGAAGCCATGATCGATACCCAGGATCGATGGCTGCCTCGGCAGTTTATAAAACTGGGGATTTCGTCCCATTTGCCATTTTTGACGAACTTGAGCTTGAGTAGAAGTGATTTTTGTTAGATTTTCAAGGAAAATATTTGGGTAAGTGATTCTAATTCGGATTTGGTCAATATACACGGATATATCATTATTTTCACCATTTAATTAGTGTATTGAGATGGAAATTTGGAATTTTTTTAGAAATATCATAAAAATAAAATTTTGAGATTTCGGTGTCAATTCGGAATCGGATTTAAGTGAAACTGGTATGGTTGGACTCGTAATTGAATGGGTTGTCGGATTTTATAAGTTTCGCCGGATTCGAGACGTGGGCCCCATGAGCAATTTTTGAGCTAATTTTGGATTTTATTAAAAAATATAATATTTTCTTATGAAATTGATTCCTATAATTTTTGTTGACTGTATCGAATTAATTATGACTAGATACGAGTCGATCGGAGTCGAAAAATCGAGAAAAAGGCATACTACTTGATTAAATTAGAGCAAGTCGAGGTAAGTGACTTGTCTGACCTTATGTGGGGAAAATTTCCCTTAGGATTGGTATTGAAGTGATAAATTTTAATGTATTGAAAGTCGTGTACATGAGGTGACGAGTGTGTACACGGGCTAAATGTGAAAGATTGTGTCTTTAAATTGTGTAGATCGTTGTATCATATTAAATAAATAATTTTACCTTGTTATATTCTTCATCATTGATTTAAATATTTATACTTTAAATTTGCTTGACCTTTCCTGCTAATTGTTTTACCTGTTTATTTGAAACTTAATTTCTTTTATTCTGTGCATTATTTGAAGGGTGATTTTCTTTAAATTAAATATTATTAATATGAATTATTTGACATTTTAAATTTGGTATTGAAGCAACGTATTAAAATTTTGAAATATTATTTTGTTGAGTTATTTATTCCCGAATATTTTGTGAGATTTTCGTGCTCATTGTGATGGAGCCGTGAGCTCTTTATTGTGGAAAAATATTATTGTTGGATTATTTTGACATGAGTTGTGAGCTCTTTATTATGAAAAAATATTGTTGTTGATTTATTTTGGCAAATTAAAATATTTGGACACTTGAGGTGCAAATTGTGATATATTGTGATATTGATACGCATGCGATGGTATAATGTTTGAGTGTTGAAACGCATGCGGTGAGATAAGGGTGGCTTGATACGCGTGGCTAGTAGGGGAAACTACTAGAAGTCATGCGGTGTGATAAGGATGACTGAAACGCGGGATGCTATTTCGGAAAAAATATTTTCTTTAAAATAAATTGTGAAGGCTCCCGCGGTGATATAAGGAAATGAGATATTGCGAATTTATTTATGATTTGGGACTACGAGGCAGTACCTCGGGAGTGCCCTTGTTGATATTGATTTATGGCCGCAGTTGCCTTTGATTATTGTTGTGATTTTCTTAAAGTTGAAAAGAATTTTGTTTAGTTTCCACGAGATATTAATTTTCATTATTTGGTGTAATTAAATTGTGACATACTACTTGACTCATTTCCATTGTCATTTTATCTTATTATATTGACAAAATTTTTACCATGCCATTATTTATTTTTCAGTAGGGCCTGACCTGATCTCGTCACTACTGTACCGAGATTAGGCTTAGCACTTACTGGATACCGCTGTGCCGCTGTGGTGTACTCATACTACGCTTCTGCACATCTTTTTGTGCGGATCCAGGTACATCTTATCAGACCAGGCATCAGTAAACTAGCTGTACGAGGAGACTTCGAGGTATATCTGCCAGTGTCCGCAGACTCCGGAGTCCCCTTCCATCTTACTATGTTGTTTTTTTTATTTGCTTTAGACTCTGATGTATAGAGACATAGAGAATAAATTCTTAGAAGCTTGTGACTTATTTCTACCGGGTTTTGAGAGTTGTAATTAAGTGAATTGCAGATTTATTTATTTCATATTTCTATTATTATTCCGCATTGATAGGCTTACCTAATCTTAGAGATTATGTGCCATCACGACATACTACAGAGGGAATTTGGGGTCGTGACAAGTATATACACGATCCGTATGGAACTTAAGCAAAAAAAAAAGGACTGGACATCATAAACATGTATACATATATACAGAGAGAGATAGAGAGAGAGAATTATAAACTCACAAACAACAGGAATATCAAATTCTTGGGCAATCACTTGTTGAAGTTCAAAGCCATTCATATCAGGCATGTGGACATCTGAGACGATAACGTCGAAAGAGACGTTGCTAACCCGAAGGATACACAATGCATCTCTTGCGTGCTTCACCGTCACAACTGATCAATTAAACCGATTAATTGATTATGAAGAATAAGGTAACTCAAATGAGGAAATGATTGCTACTCCATATATAAAAACATTCTCAAAATCATATGGCCAAAAAACAAAAAAGAATAAGATGAAGTAAACTATATTTTCACATGTATGCTCAGGTTTAGTACTGCGGTTATCATATATAAATCATTCTTAAACATGCACACTTTGCTTTTATTAATAGTTTGCCTAACCATAATGGGAAGGATATAATCTACAATAGCATAATCAGTCAATCTTTTATAAGGCATCACTTGGACTAGCTCGGGACTAACCTAGGGAAATTAAATGGAGCTTCTCAACATAGGCGGAGCTAGGGGGTAGAAGATGATTACATTATATAGACTAGGTCATGTATATATTATGAATGTTGAGTTTCCTTGACTTCTTTATATTAGGAATCTCCATGGCGAAAATTCTAGCTCGCCAATGCTTATGAATGCACCGAGGCGACCATGGGAAGCTAAACTTTCAGTGGGCTCGCGAGTCGATAGGTGGAATATATTCATCTTATATACTATGCTTTACGCATTCAGTTGTTCGCCCCATATGCCCTAGAAAATATCCATGTCCTCTAGAGGTGGCTCAACCAAAGATATCTAAGGCCAAATTTTAATAAGAGGCTTTAAATTTATTTGGAAATTTTGGTTTGTTTTTTCGTTTTGTTTTTGCAACGAATGGGTACGAATCCTTTTGTACGTATTATGATCTCAATTTTATACCACTAAATATATATTCAAATAATTTTATACATTTGAAATAATTCAAGCCTATTTGAAGTGAAAAAAATAAGTTTATTCACTCTTTATAAGAAATAATTATTTCCAAAAGATACCTTATTTTTTAAATATCAAAGTCGTCATCAAGTTATTCATTTTCATATATTGCATGTTTTTTATTAAATTCAGTTATCTATCTGAATAACCTCTATCACATTCCAAAAAATGAAATATAAAATCTAATCTCATTATTAATAAATTTATAATATGAAATAATATATAAAAATAAATAATTTTTGGGCCTTCAAATGTGGGGGTCTAAAGCAATTGCTTTAGTGGTCTCCCATTGAGCCGATGTCCTCTTTGTCTTGAAGCTCTGAACTTTCCGTAACATTTTTAAAAAAAATCAAGTATTTGACTTTAGCTTATAAAATATTTGGTGACTTAGATTATTATAAATTATTGTTAGATAGATAAATCTATTTTTGAATCTGGTATAACTTTTAATATATTTCCTATAAGCTCTTTCATATTTTAATCCAAAAATATTATTTTTTCTATGAAGTACTAAAAAAAACATTGGAACTTACAGCACATGCCTTGAGGTGTGAGTTTCATCCATAATATGTAAAACGTCTTGCCTTATGCTTTCGTCTTCTAAAACACTTAAATTTTTCAGAACAATCATGACTAGATTACCAAGAGTTCATTTTCATTAATTCTTTTGCAAGAGATCAAGAAACCTTATTTTATGAAGTTTGAAATTAAATTCAATTTAAAAGTCCTCCACTTGATATTAGTTTTAACTTATACAATCTCAGATCAAGAAATGGAAACATGAAAAAAGAAAAAGAAACACTCACGAAATTACGGAAATGATGAAGAAAACCTAAGGAAATTTAGCATAGCGACACATGCCTTGAAGCTAATGTTTTAATTGAATCCGGTGCAATTTTTAATATGTATTCTACTACGTATAACATTTCTTTAGTGTTTTAATCCATTCGGAAATGTCTTTCTTTTAATTGTTTCAAGTAGTTGACTTAAAAAATAGGCATTTTGTAAGATCGGTGACTTACATTATCATGTGTACATATATTATGCTAATTAGATAGTTAAATCTATGTTTGCACCTTTTCTTTTGAATCTGGTACAATTTTAATATGTTTTCCATAAGTTTCTCTTTTGTATTTTAATCCATTTTATGCTATCAATTTATGATAATTTTAAAAATTTATGGGGCTTACGACTCATGTCTTGAGGCGTACGTAAAACGCCTTGCCCTATGCATGTCTCCGCCTTTTAAAACACTTAATTTATCACAACTATCATGACTAAATTAGCAAGTACTCCTTTTCATTAATTCTTTTGCTTGATAAGAAACCCTTATTTTGTGAAGATTGAAAATTAAATTTAATTAAAAGGTCCTTTTCTTGATGTCAGTTCTCACTTACAACAATGATCAGGTCAAAGAAATGGCAACTTAAAAAAAAAAAAGGACCCTATTTTACGCATACAAAAAAACACTCATGAAATTAGAAAAATGATGAAGAAAACTTAAGGAAATTAGCATAGCGACTGTACCTTGGTATTTCCACTTCTTGAGTTGAGCAGCAACAATGGAAAGGCAAGTGATATCATCATCCACAACCATAATGCTGTAACTTTTATAAAATTCACTATCAATAATTTCAGATGATTTGTTTGCTACGACCATTTCACCCCCCATTGCTTCTTCTCGAAATAATCGACTGTTGTGACAAATTAATAAAAGGAAAATGGTCAACTTGAATGATGGCAATTAATTCCAGGTGTTTTAGATGCTTTTAGTATTTTGTTGAAAGGGAACACAAATTTGTGTTTATTGATAAAGCATATAAAGTACTCTCTAGATTTGCTAATTAAAGTTTTGAACTACTTGGATATACATTGGAGTCAATTTCTTTCTTTCACGAAAATCCACCTTAGATTTGCTCACCAATTAAAATGACATTTTAAGATTATTTCATAACTCTGTTACTATAGTTTTAGCCCAGTAATGCCATGTTTCCACTATTCCGTTTTAGAAACTTATTCATTTTGTTTAAGTTTTTAGTTTTACCTTTTTTGCTATAAAAATAATGTTATTCTCATCTGGCTAATAAAAGCTCCAACAACATACCATAAATGTATGTACATCCACAATCTATGCTTATGATGACCTCAAACTACGTTTTGATGACATCATTTTGACTTATATAGTCTGAAATGCGTTGAATTTATTATACTACTCCAGTATATGTTCATGAAGTTAATTTTTCGGCTTAATTAGGTCTTAAATTCAACTAGATAGTTATTATTTTATTGTCACATGATAACTAACGTGATTTAGAAGGAGAAAAAGAAAGAGGAGATTATTTAAGTGGAGGTTAAGATCGCCATTTATTTTTCCATTGAAGCATCGAAGCTAATTCATAATTTGTAAGAAATTCAAAAATAGTCAGATTTACGAGTGGTAATTGAAAAAAAGTCACAGTTTCAAAAGTAATCGAAATTTAGCCACTTTTCATGTAAAGATAAATCTGAACGAAAATATTGTTCAAAATCCGAAAAATATTCCATCATAATATACTGGAGTTCCAGTATAATATATCGGTCAAGCATAATATGCTGGAAGTTTATACACAGGTGCTCCAATCTCCAGTATATTATGCTGGAACTTTCCGCGTGTTGGAGTTCCAGCATAATATGTTGGAAGTTTATACACAGGTGTACCAATCTCCAGTATATTATGCTGGACCGGTCCGTGTTGCAGCAAAATAGTGGCTATTTTTTAATGACTTTGCAAATGATGACTATTTTTGAATTATCGGTCCGAAAACTGTCTAGTGTATTTCAGGACTCTACATAACTAGTTCTGATAGAAATATAACAAGTCGATTAGTAGTAGGAGACTTCAACGAAGTCACGTGTGCCTCTGAAAAATTTGGAGGATTAGCCGTTAATAATAACAAAATAACCAACTTTCTTAACTGCTTGGACTATTGTAAAAACTGCAGGACCTAGGATTTAAGGGATACTTGGACTAACAAAAGAAAAAAATACAGAACCCTCATTGTAGAAAGACTAGATAGATGTACAACAAATGCTGATTGGATTAACCTATTTCAGGACGCTAATGGCAAGATCAAGCTTGACTTCCAAAAGAGCTTCTCTACATAAAGTAACATATTCAGAATAGTCAATGGGGATGTTCCATTCTAGCTTTAATAATCTTGTTCACGAGACATAGAATAACCAAACAGATATTACAAAAGCTATAAGTTTTCCACGACTAGGGTTAAAGAATGGAATAGTAACACCTTCGGTGATATCTTTAAAAAGAAGAATACTATTATCGGTAGACTAGAAGGCATCCAAAAGTCCTCTAAATACACCACTAGTCAGTTGCTTTTTAATTTAGAGACTGAGCTTATTGATGAGTATAATAACATTCTTAAGTTAGAGGAAGAATTTGAGAAGCTAAAATCTAGAATTAAATGGATACAAGACGAGGACGCCAATACTAAATTATTTCATATAACCACCATGAAGAGAAGACGCAAGAATTCTTAGCCTCAAAGATGAAGCGGGAAATTGATTTTAGGACCAAAGGAATATAAAGTCCATAATTACTAATTATTAAATCAAACGATATACCACGCTGAGCATGATATGTCCTATAAAAGTAGTATCTACATGTCTTATAACGCTACTATTAGGAATATAGAACACTCTTTCCTCAAAGATGCTGGTAGGAGACTAATAAGCAACTAGTTAAATTCTGTAAGAATACCTTCACTATAAAAAAGATGATGGAAAATATGAATAACGCATATGTTTGCCTCATCCAAAATGCCAGAATGCAGAAACTATTAGGCAATATAGACCCATAAGCTAGTACAATATAGCTTACAAAGTTGTTACTAAGATAAAATTGCTAATAGAATAAAGCCCTTACTTGCCAAAATCATTCACGCTATCCAAACTAGTTTTATTAAAGGAAGAAGGGCCTCGGATAGCGCTATTATTGTACATGAAGCTCTATTACACCTTAAGAAGCTTATAGGGAAAAGGCCTCGGAGAAGCTAAAATGATGATAAAAATTGACTTGGAGAAAGCCTTTGATAAAATTAAATGGTCCTTTATTAGTTCCCTCTTATTTTCCTTAGATTTCCCTCCAACTTAATTGATCTCATCATGTCTTGTATTTCTTCTACGTCCAC